GCGGATCAGTGGTGTGTTCCCTTTGATCGCCAGGTCGACATGCCGCGGTTTGTCTGTGTGCACTTGGGGCCGGGCATTTGCTTTCCCCGGCTTTTGACCGTCACAGACAAAGCGGCCTCATGTTAACAAATAAAGTCCTTGTGTGGAGATGTACTTCCTGTTCTCTCGGGTCACTGCCGACGTGTGGAATGGTGGTGGCTGTGTGCTGCCCTGTTTTAGGAATCTGCCTGTCTGCGAAGTGGCTGCACCACCCAGCATCCCTGCCACCAGCTGACGGCCCCCCAGGGCCTCCACAGCAGCACTTGGCCCGCAGCCTTTCCCACTGTACCTGGAATCGATGTGCGGCCGCCCTGCTTGTGGTGTGCACTTTGTTTCCCTAACGACCGATGATGTTGAGCGTCTCTGCTTGTCATCATCGGGGGTCTTGTTCTGCAAAGTGTTCCCACTCATGCCCAGTTTTTACTTGATGGTTTGTTCCTTGCTGAGTCTGAGCGTTCTTCATCTGTTCTGGGTGCAGGTCCTCTGTCACATACTCCCTTGCACGCATCTCCTCCCATCCTGCGGCTCGCCATTTCGCTGCTTTGTGAGGCTGTTAAGGAGAAATCTGTATCAGTGTTTTCTCTTTTATTTGTGATGATTTGGATATTGTGGCTGTGAAACTTTGCCTATCCCAGATTCGCAGGTTTTCCCCTATATTCTTTAGTAATTTTATAATTTTTCGACTTACATGGAGGTTTCTATTTTTGTTTTGAGTTAGTTTTTTATATTACACACATTACAGAATTGGAGGATTTTTTTTTTTTTTTAAACGAATACCTAGCTGTTCCAGCACCATTTGTTGAAAAGACATCCTTTCTGGAAGCCTGGGTGGCTCAGTCGACTAAGTGTCTGACTCTTGATTTTGGCTCGTCGTGATCTCAGGGTCATGAGATTGAGCCCCGCGTCCAGCTCCATGCTCAGCGGGGACTCTGCTTGAGATTCTTCCTCTCCCTCTGCTCCTCCCCCCGCTCGTGTGCTTACTCTCTCTCGCTCTCTCTAAAATAAATAAATCTTTAAAAAGAGAAAGCATCCTTTCTATGCTGAATTGCCTTAGAATATTTATCAGAACAGGCTGTCCATGTGTCGGTGTTTATTTCTGGGCTCTGTTGTGTTTCCTCAGTCTGACTTCAGACCAAGGCTGTTTTGGTCACTCTGGCTTTACGAGAATTCTCGAAATTAGGTTGTTAGCTCTCCATCCTTTCCCCCAAGGTTGTTTTGAGCATTCTGGGCCTGTTACATTTCCACATGACTTTTAGAATTAGCTTGTCCGTTTGTACAGAGAAATGTATGGGATTTGACTGGGATGGCTTGGATTCTCTCGAACAGTGTGGGGAGAAGTGAAGTCTTGGCAGGCTGGCCTTCTAGCCACGGCCGCGTGTATCTCCATGTGTTTGGGCTGATGTTAATTCCGCTCCGCGCAGTGGACCCCTGCATAGTTATCAGAGGGTGGACCCCCGACAGCTTTTCCAGATTGGTCTCCACGTGCTCTATGTTCTTGGATGCTATATTATGCTTTCCAGTTATCTTTCTTTTCTAGCTCAATTCCATTAGGGTCACAGAAGATACTTTGAATTACTAAAATCCTTTTCAATATGTTGAGCCTCTTTGCGTGGCCCAGCCTCTGTCTGTGTTCATAAATGTGTGTCCACCCAAGAGGACGGTGCCCTCTGCTGTGCTGGTCAGAGTGTTCCTTCCGGACACCTGAGTCAAGTTGGCTGATCATGTTGTTCCTGTCTACTTTATCCTTATGGGGTTTTTGCTTCTCATTCTATGAATTACTGAGAGAGTGATATTGAAATCTCTGGCTGTAATTGTGGGCTTGGCTATTTCTCCTTGCATTTCTACCAGGTTTTGCTGCATCTCTCTTGAAGCTCTGTCATTAGCAAGTATGTGTTTAGGACGGTAATGTTCTCTTGGCCAATTGGCCTCTTTGTCATTATGGATTTGCCTTGCGGGTGCTACTCCTGGCTCTGAAATTCACTTTGATACCAGCAGGGTCTCCAGCTTTCTGTCTCCGTGCCGCTGTCTTATGGAGGTTTGCCTGTCCGTGTCAAGAGCGCTCTTTTGTAAGCAGCGCGTAGTGGGGGCTGTTCTCCCCACTCTGATGGCCTGCGTGTAGGCGGGTGGGTAGGCGGCTCCCGTGTCATGTGGCGGCTGCTACAACTGGGTCTCACTCTCTCCTCCCCGTCTCAGCTCCTCCTCTGCATCCACATTCTCCTGATTTTCTAGCTTCTTTCTCATTCGGTGGGTGTGTTTCATTATTTCATTGTATTTCCTTTCCTCACTTATTAGTTGTCACTCTTGGCTGTTTGGGGGTTTTCGGGGTTACGGTACACATCTTTCACTTACCACGGTCCTCCTGTAAGCGATGCTGTACCTTCCCACACGGGCGGCCCCGTAACCCCGTGGGTCTGATGTTCCCCTCGAGCCTCTGTGCTGTGCGTGTCACACATTCCAGCTAGACGTCTACCTTAGACCCCAGTACACTTTTATTAGTTTTGTTGAAACCATCTCTTCAGAAAATAGTAATTTGCTTTTGTATCTTGGCTAGAAGATGCCGTGTATAGATACATGGTGGAACATTACTCAGCCATAAAAAAGAATGAGATCTTGCGATTTGTGATGACACGGATGGACCTCGAGGCTGTTATGCTCAGTGAACTAAATCAGAGAAACACAAATGCTGTAGCGTTACACTCACGTGGAATCTCAAAGATGAAACAAGTGATCCAATGAAACAAAACAGAGACGACTCACAGATAGGAGAGCAAGCTGCTGGCTACCAGAGGGGGAGGGGTGGGCAAAACCGGTGGGGGGATTAGGAGGTACAGACCTGCAGTTATAAAACAGGTAAGTCTCGGGGTGTGGCATGTGGTACAGGGAACGCAGCCCATGACCACACAGTAACTTCATGTGGGGACAGACGGCGACATCCATAGTCGCTACACTGTGGGGAGCCTTTCGTGATGTCCATAGTCGCAGAGTCACGGTGTCACACGCCTGAAACTCGTGTGATGGTGTTTGTCAACTGTACATCGACTGCAAATAGAAGCTAGTAATTTCAGTGTCCTTATAAGATTTAGATGAAGTCGAAAACCATGTAGTTGCCAGCGTAGTCACGCTCTCCACTGCTCCTCGCTCCTTTGCGTGGATCCGAGTCTCCATGCAGGGTCCCCGTCCTGCTACTGCAGGGGCTTCCCTTGGCCTCCCTCGTGGAGTGGGTCTGCTGGTGATGCATTCTTGTAGGTTCCGTTTGCCTCAGAACATCTTTATGAATATTTTCATTGGGAATCGAATTCTAGGTTGGCATTTTTTTTCTTATTTCAGTATTTCAGAGATTTTTCTTTTCTTTGTCATGTGCAAAGGGGGCTGTGTCTTGTGCTTGGGGTTTGTTGAGCTTCTTAGATCTGTGTATACTTTTCATCAAATGCAGCACTTTCTTGCAGTGTTTGTCCTTCTCTCCCCCGCCGCCCCCCCCCCGTCCTTCCCTCCGGGGGCTCCTCCACCCACACGGACGTTGTGCTCCGTGAAATCACCCCACAGCTCAGTGATGACCTTGTCAGTCTTAAATATTCCTTTTCTTGTCTATTTTACTTGGGATTATTTTGAGTGTTTTGTGTGTTGGGTTGTTGTTTTTTGTTTTTTTCTTTTCTGTAGTCTTCAAGTGTGTAATTTCTTCTGCAGGGTTGACTCTGTCATTAGCCCCTCCGGTGTGTTTGTCACAGCTCGGGTGCTGGGCCTTCCCTTCCAGGGATTGGGTTGTCTTGCTCTTTCCTCCTTACTCGCCTGAGCTGCTCAACAGCAGACTGCTGCTCCCGTGTCCCAGCACTTCAGTAACCGTTTTAATGTCCTTGGATGCTACTTAATGTCTGCCGTTCTTGGTCGGTTTCAATTGATTGATTATTCTCCTCATTATGGGTCATATTTTCCTACTTCTTTTAATGCCTGCTAGGCCTTGATTAGTTGGCAGACATTGAATTTTGGCTTGTTGGATTCTGAATGTTTTTGTATTCATATAAATCTTCTTGAGCTTTTTCAGAGATTCAATTAGGTTTCTTGGAAAGAGTTTGGTCCTTTCAGATCTTGTGTGATTTGCTGGGCCGTCCTGGAGCACTTCTCAGTCTAGAGATAATTATCTCTCGCTCCTGAGCCAAGACCTTCCTGAATAATCTATGAAATGTGAGCTTTCCATTCTGGCTGGTGGTGGGGAAGGCCCTGTTCCTCAGCCTGTGTACGTGCTGGGCACTGCTTCCTGGACACACTTTTTGATTTTTAAATCACGTGAATATAGTGCCTTTCAGAAAATTAACTTTAAAAAAATGACAAAAATAAGACTTTCTTACAGTGAGCTGAAGCCTGCCGCTCGCCCGTGTCGGCCACTGGCCTTCGCATGGCCTCTGGGCCCATGATGGAGGAGGGACTCCACATGGTCCCCTGAGCCTACTTCCCCGCCCAGTTGAGCTTTCCTCCCCAGCCCGCATCTCTCTTTAGGCCATCTCCGTGGTTCTGTGTCCTCTATGACATGTGGTCACACCTCCTGGGAGTGGACCATCAGGCATAGGACACGTGCAAGCTCCTACCTGTCTGCCTACGGTTAGCCACCCCTCCCTCCGAGTTGTGGTCAGTGAAGACCCCTTGCAGAACCATCTTGGTCAGAACAGACACGTGGGCTGCACTCCCGGCCTGCGTGAGAGAGAGAGAGAGA